CAGAAATAACTAAACTTAAAATGTTGCCGTATAAATAGTAGGGGTATCTGCATTGTTTCGCGTTGCAACATTCACTAAGTTCGCTGCGCAAAACGCATGTAGTTGTTTCCACGACTTATACACAGTTGGAAAATTTGTGTTTTCTTGTTAAAGAAAATGCCGGTTAAAATTTTTGTGTTGAATGTTTAACACGTACTTGTGTTAATTTAACTTCTTGCTCTTGTGTTAATTGACCTCAAATGGAAAATTATTAAAATACTTAAAAAGAAATGTTAAAACAACACAAAGTGTACTTATTTCTTAATCTTACACAATACATATATTCTATTTTATTAGTAACAAGATTTATCTGTTAAAATTTACAGAATAAAATGTTGATTTTATTCTATATAACATAAGTGTGAATGATTTCGAACCGTCATTTGACTTATTACATCTGTAAAATGTAAAAATTCCATTTTTAAAAATTCATTTTGTCATTAAAAATATGTTAATTTTACACAAAATCTATTTTAAATTATTTTAAGATTTGCATTTATTTTGTGTTAATTTAAAATATTAACAGAGTATTAGTGTGATTGTTTAACATATCCATATTATGTTAAATTAACACAAAAATTTGTGTGGACCGTTTAGGACATGTGATATCTGTTAAATTTAACACAAATTTTTCAACTCTGTACCAATGTGGGCAAGAAGGTAACTACTTAATGTAATCGTGGGACAGAGTCTCCGAAATCATTATGAAATCCCTACGATATCCCCGTGTAATCGTTTTATCTTAATTTTCAAGTTTCTTCACTTGTTAGACACTAAATAGTAAATATGACATTTTTCTCAGCTTGTTTTCAGTTTCCATAAAAATTTACTTCTTTTAGTGAATATTCAAATATGTATCATAGGTCAGTGAATACAAATACAAAATTACGTTTTGTTAAGACCACGGTTACACTAGTGGGGAAAGTGGAAGCAAGAAAAACACGTGACCGAATACTACAATCTTAACTGAAATTACCTCTGCAAGCAAATACTTCTCAGTAAAATGAGAAAAGTATATTTTGAGGAAATCTAACAGCTCTTTGAGGTTTAAGGGGATA